ACTGACATTTAATTTTTATGATCAGCTACTTTTATAGCAATAAATACATTCTTCTTATATACATACTATGCATTTAGGATTTAAATACTCTGTCCAGGTTATCATGTGAGATAGTGTAAATGCATTTTTTTATAGTTATCCAAACATTCCATAAGAAGTATATCATGACAGGTAATAAAGCAAGATAAACATTAATAAAATCATTCCAGAGAAGAGCTTAGCCAACTGAGAGGTTGTGTATGTGGATTCCTGAACAGAAATAATGAGAATCTACATGCCGTTGAATCCCTAAAAATCCCAAAGAGCAGTGTTAGAGTGCTGGCAGAATATCTGAGGACCAGGAGATTGGAAATTACCACAGATCAATCAACTGCCGGAGATAGCACCTTACCTATTGGGACATTTTTGGATCTGAAAACAGAGGTTCCTGGATACCATCAAAGAACTTCGGAAAAGCAGTGAGATTAAGAACTTTCACGGACTAACCATGCGCTGGTGATAGTACCGTTAAAACCGAAAAAGAACCCACGGATTTAAAAAGACAAGAGGGGTAAGAGGCGACGAAAAGTGAGTACGGTAGACAATTATATAATAATAACTGGTCCCGCACTAGTCTCCCCCTTAAATTCACTGTACACCAGGAGGAACCATATATGATGAAAAATTTGGAGATTCTTCAGGCATGACTGAATAAGAGGTGTTGTTGTTATATTAAGACCAATATATACACAAAACACTCCAGTGGATGATATGGTCATAAAGAACCACAATGAAACGAAGAGACTTCCTCATTAACTGAAACCAATAAGTAACCCATATCAACCACATTATCGGGGTAAAGAATACGTAGACTGACTAGAGTTATATTTGGAAGTAAATCGGAAAATATAGATCTTCCTCTCCGACGTCCACCTCTTACATCATCGTTAAGCAGGAACATAATTATGGAGTAGAAACAGGTGTAAAATTAAGAAAATTCCTTTTTTAGGAAACTCTCAAGAAAACAAAACACTGCCAAGTTTGTGGGAACGCTTAGTTTGTATGAATGAATGGGAGTATGAGTGTCATGAACAACGTTGTTCTTTTACTAGTAATTTGAGAAGTGAGCTAACAGACACCGAATATATTACCTTGTAATCAATAAAGTTTATATTTTTATAAAACTATAGGTCTCGGTCAATTTAATAACCTTCTTTTACAGTGTTCTCTCTGTTAAAACACTGTTACCCTCCTTTTTTCTGACTACTTTTGGTTATATGACCTTGATGACCTATTCAAATGATTAATTAAAACATTAAAGGGGATATTCAAGGTATATCAGAACTCCAGGTAACAACCTTTTTTTTCCATCACCATTAAGAACCTTACCAGTTCAATGCTGGTGCATTTGTCATTGAACTGAAAATAGATACAAAAAAGGCTCCTTGACCTCCTTAGTGGACTATGCTGCCAACTATAAATTATTGGACCAACCAAACTCGGGAATATGAATACTGCTGTTGGTGAATAAATGCTAAATAGTTCAGATTTCTGAACAAAAAGGCCATGTTCACACTTGGGCGGTCCCGGGACCCGCATCCCAGGATTGCCCAAGTGTGAACCTGACCTTATTCTTCAGAAATCTGAACTATTTAGCATGTATTCACCAACAACATTATTCATATTCCAGAGTTTGGTTGCTCAAGTTGCTCAGTATTCATATTTACGAGTTTGATTTCAATGGGGTTATATCCGCATGGCAATCGCTGACGAAAGGTACAGGGAACACGCACTGAGCATTTTTTCTGCCGTGATTGTGCGCAATTGCACACGTGGAATCAGGTTGGAAAAATGCATGATTTGCTGGGTGCCATTAGAAATGAATGGCACCGCAAACGCGAACAGCGGTTGTGCGCGTTTCCATGACCACGTGGCGATCCGCGAGATTTCATGACTGCGTGACGATCCGCAGGGTTTCATGCACGATCGCCCAAGTGTGAACCAGGTCTAAATGTAGCAGTCTATGTTACCTTTTTGGTAACACATCAGTTGCCAGAATGAGAGTGTTGTTGGGAAACTGCAGTTACCCTTTAATATTCTAAAGCAGAATTTAAATATAAATATGTTGTAAAATAGTAGCAATAAAAAGCAGCATTTATAACAATAGCTTTAAAAAATATAATATGCAGCGCTAGTAAATAGTCCGAAAAATATGTTAATATTTGAAGCTAAATTTATCGTTTAGACCAGGAGTAGGCAAACCTTGGCCCTCCAGCTGCTGCAAAACTACAAATCCCTTCATGCATCCGCCCCTGGAATTGTGATGCCTGTGGCTCTCAGACTCTTGTAGGGCTAAAACAACAAATCGATTTAATATATGTTTTTAAGTTTATGTTTTCTCTGTATTGCTTTGTAGTTTTGGGATGCTAGTCACTAAAAGGATATATGCTGATTGGCTATTCCATGTAGTTATGTCTTATATGTGGCACCTGGTATAGGAAAATGCCCCAAAATGTTAAGCTACCATTGATTTCTGTGTGTGTGGTACAATACATGTGTTAGTCCCATGAACCTCAGAAGAGATCCTGAGGATATTTACCATATGTCATGTGAAAGCCCTGTGTGGGCAACACAGGGGTCAATGACACCATGTATTAGGTTCAGTTAAACAGCAACAGAATGCAATACAGTTTACTTAGGGAGTACACTTTTAGAGAACTTTTGTAATCGAAAGCACCATTAAGGGAGAACCACGAACAGTTTAACTAGAAATATTTTTGGTGAATATAGGCTATGTAAGAAATGCCTACGCATTTCTGCATCTAAATTCTCAATGATGTAGTCAGTGAGGAGCAATATAGTGGGGTATAATTTTTTGTCGGGGGAACTTGTAACAGAGATTATACTTGGAAAGTGTCACACTCATCCAGGTATCAAAGAAACATTAGATTCTTTAACTTATGTATGTTCTGCCTTTAGCAGCTCCTGTTCCCATAAGGCAAGCAGGCCTATCGATACTTTGTTGCCCCATGGACTTATCACACAATCTTATAGTTTCTGGACAGACTGACCCTGTAACTGACCAAAGAAAATGGAAAAGAGTACCTGTGGTCCTTGAGGTGTCAGGTTGCGAATCCTATGATAAATAGAAAGTAGTCCATAATAAAGTCTCAAGGCTGGTGGGCACAGACAGCACCTTGTTCCAGAGACAATCCAAAGAGTTAGGGCAGGCAGCAAGAAAAGTCCAGAGACAGTCCCAAGGTCAGGACTGGCAACAGGAAGAGTGTGTTCCATAGAAGGTTCCTAGGTCCGGGCTGTCAGCATGCAAAGCGAGTTCCAGGGACAGTTTTGAAGTCAGAGCAGGCAGGGGGCAGAGCGAGTTCCAGAGACAGTTCCAAGGGCATGGCAAGCAGCAGGCAAATCGAGTTGTAGAGATAGTTTTGGAGTCAGACCTGGGTCAAAAACAGGGAGTACAAAAAAACCACAACAGAGTGGGAATGTTGGACTTTAACGATACCAAAAAAGTGTAATATCATTTAAATACATATGTATTAAAATATTAATTAAAGCATTACAGTCCACTTCATAATAGACAGTATATCCTATAAAGGGCCTCCAAGGTCTATTGCCTGGGGGCACAGGACCAAATGTTCCATGGCTACTATGGAACATTTAGTCCTGTGCCCCCAGGTGTGACCAGTACCAAGACCCTCTAATGTTGGTCACTATGTGGGAAAGCTATCACAGAGCTACTGTGGGTGAATATTTATCCTTTCGATTGCTTTAAACTGAATACAATAGACCAACTGAATACAATAGACCAACCTATGCTAGTAAATTGTCACCGTCTGGGAACTGGGGCACTAGGGATTGTGAGTTCTGGGTTTTGTGGAACAGTCAAGAATAGGAACCAGGCCAGGAACACAGGTCTTGGGTACTGAAAAGGACACTGGGTACACCAAACACATGGGATAGAGTGTCGGCACAAGAAAAGTGGGTGTGCCAGAGGCGCATGGTCTAAGGAGAGCCTGGTCTTCTCCAGATCCTCTGATCGTGAGGATGTTGAACTGCAGGGCAGTCCCAGGTTGTGGCCCTTCAACACACCCATGCAGACACAGCTGACTAAAGGGCTAAGAAATAAGACTCAGTGACATGTAGGGCAAAAGACTGTACCCCTGAGGTGCGGGAAGGTGCAGAAGAAAAGACTGATTCAGGACACACTGGGCAATAGCACACAGGGAAAGTGCACAGAGGTTCTGGATACAAGGGAACACATGCAGGATTGACAGCAGCAGAGGGCGGGTGCAATAGCTAGTTTGATATTGGCTATTGCAAATTAAAATAGCCAATAGGGATCTAGCAATGCATATTATCCTATGGCGAACATTTTTATATGGCTGAAGTCCGCCGTACCAGCCTGAAGTGAATAGCCGAACAGCGTTTGGCTCACTTAATTTCTGGTTGGTCGTTCACTCGCCTGCCTACGGCAGCTTAGTGAATAGACCCCACAGTGTATTATAATTGAGGACACCAAGGGATATTTCACAGCCAGAGCTTAGGGGGATAGAGGTGAGCAGCCTCTGCAACAGAATCGAGGCTCGGTGAGTATATCTTCTTTATTTGTTCCGTTAGAAATAAACAGCAGTTAACTCTTGCAGTGAAGGGGTAACCCCATTGCAAGGGTTCATTTTTATTCTGCCCAGAGTTCATCTTTATGATAAACTATATAACTAACCTGGGTATTGCAAATTGAGCATGATATGAAAACAAATGTATAAACAAAGGTTGGTTACCTTCAGTAAAAGGTAACGGGTATCCCACATTTTGTAAAGCTGTGCTTGACCCTGCCCCTCTCACCACATTAGTATCCCTGCTAGTTTATGAAGCTGACTATTACATTAAAAGTGTAGAAGAAGTGGGGAAGAAAGAGAGAAAAGGGTAAGGGTGTAAGAAAAGAAAGATTGTAAAGAGAATAGTAAACATTATTATTCTTATTAATAAATGTATTTATATTCTTTTAGTAAGAAATTAAAGGCCCGTGCCCCTCCTCCACCTCAGCTCATTCCAGAACATCACATGGAGCACACATCATCTACTGAGTCTGATGGCACAGGGAACCAAAGCACAGACGAATCAAAAGAAAATGTCTTGCATCGGAAGGTGGATATCACAGTATGTTTACCAGCTGGACAGGAAAAAAGCATGAATGTAGATGGAAGGTAGGTCAATATGTCAATTACTTTGTTAGTAATGGTACTAATTATGATTGGTAGCAACTTTTTTTTAGTCGCTTATTGTATGTATTAGTTTGTTTGCTTTTCCAAGGCCCACAAGCATTGTTGACATCCCTCGGCTGTCTTCCTGATCCAATGTCCATGCGTGTACAGTTTGGCCCCATGGGCTTCTATGAGCCAGTAGACAGAAATCCATCTACCAGCCCCATACAATGTTGCATGATTTAAAGCAGGATCTATGTAAGTGCAGTGATTTGGGAGGGGAACTACACCTACTGTTGGGGGTGGGGACAAAAAGGATTAAAAAAAACTTTCCATCTGACTGTATAAATGTATGCTCTGAAATTGTAAGCCTGCTTCATTTCACTACTGATTGTGTCATTGCCCTGAACAAGGGCAATGATGGGGGTTTACTTCATTGCCTGCATACTTATTCCAGGTCAGTGATTAATTAGGTAGTGAAGGCCAACCTGGATGACAACCTATAGTTTTAATAAAAAGTCAGCAGTGGCATCCTCCATATTTACAGTAATGTAAAAAAGAAAGTACACCCATGGAAATTGTTGACTTCTTCAACATATTTGAAAAGGCAAACATTAGATCCTCATTTAAAACCTATAGTTATATTAAAGAACACAGGAAGTAAAATTGCATTTAGATTCATGTTAAATGGCAGATTTCAGGTTAATAATCATCATCATCATCATGTAGAATAACCATTAGATTAATTAGTTAAAGACAAATAACGATAGTTTAGCTTGAATCAAAAATTTTACTTGAAAAGCAACAATTTCTAAATAATAACTTATCCCCTTGGACTTCTCTAAGATTGCATGTGCGTGGGTTCTGTCTGGGTTCCGTCCAACATGGCCAGTGGGTGCATCATTAAGATAAGCCAATATGATGACACTTCTGTGGCAACCATACAGGTGCAGCATTGCTTCCTCAACACTGCCTTCTTTATTCTCACACATGTACAGTAGCGGGCGATGTGTCGAAACCAATGTGCCAGCTGTATACTGAGGGGGTATGTTCCAAACCAAGTTGGGTTGCTGCTGCTGCAGTGAAAGTCATGTATCTGCCTTGGCCGTTTGGCAGGAGTACCTTGAACAAAGCACTTGGCAAACAGTTTCACTATACAGTATGTACTTCAGCTGTGTAATTAGCCACTTGCATGCAGTACAACCTCAGCTCTTTTAATTGGAAGGTTGTAAGAATTATTTTCTTAGTACAATGTAGCCACAGTCTTAAATACTCATTGCTTTGCTGGAATGTATGATGTTGAAAGGGCTAAGCATTTCCAGGTACTCCAGCAACCTCTGGGATGCTTTGAAAATGAGAAAAAGCCTCTCATTCTTGCCTGGGCACACATAGAGGTATTGAAGTTAATTTATTGAGGAATAGAACATGTTCACTACACACAGTTAATTTTGACTTTGCAAGGGAATTTTTACTTTTGCAAAAATACCCTTTTACAAACAAGGAAAATTAAGATTCAGCATGTTTGCTTGCACATGATTGGATGATGGAAATCATCAGAAGTTCACCACATTTATTTATTACAGGTATTTATATAGTGCTGACAATTTACACAAAACCTTACATACTGCACATTCACTAACCTAAGAGAAAATCCCCATGCAATGTGAAAATTCACTTTACTAAGCAAAAAGCTGTTTTGCCCTTAGTAAATCAACCTCCTTATTCTCTTCACTAATGATTATTAAAGAAAAAAATTATTAACACGTGTAAAAAAAACTACCAGGTTGCTAAAGATGTAATTGGTACATTGGGAGGGACTTTAAGGACACAGCGGAACTGATCATTTCTAGCTGTGTCCCTGTAAAAGGCATAATGTTTTTTACAACACATGTTTGCACTAAATGTATCTCCTAAACACATGGTAATGTTTGCTACTGTGGTTTAAAAATAACTGTATTTGTTGTATATGCAATCGATATCATGGGTGCTACTCTTGCTACAACACCACGCCTTGTTTTTTTGAATTTAATATGTTGTAGTTCTAATTAGTTACCTAGAATATTCAAGAACCAGTCTGCATTGTGACCTGTCATTTAACTGGTGAATATTCATGTTTGGAAGCCCTGGCTAGTCTTACAGTTAAAATACAACATAACAGTTGTTGCTCTGGTCATGCTGAGTTTGTTGCCCACCAAAATGTATTTATTTTAATGTATATTCTTCAGTTGCTCTATATGTTTGCAAATAAGTCATATATTTAAACCATGCACTCCCTTATTATTAATATTATTATTATTACTACCACAATTATTTGTTATAGGAGTTGAGGATGTTTGCATCATTTATCCAATCACATGCAGATGAAATAAGTAAAAAGGAGTTTGCATTTTACATGACTGGATAATTAAAGTGAATACTCAAAAAATGTATTGTGTATACATTCTCAACTCCGTTACTTAATTAGCCTCCCAGTCATTAAATGTAATGCCTTGAAAGAAATGGATAAAGGGCTCTGTACACAAAAAGTTACAATCCAGGAAGTGCTAAAAGACTGGTACAGAAGGTAACGACACTGATAGCAAAAAAACAAATGCTTTTGTTGGCATAAAATGCTTTAGAAATAAAAAAAATGTAATAAGACTTTCTTAGTACAATACAGCCACAGCCTTAAATACTCATTGATTTGCTGGAATGTGTGATGTTCAAAAGGCTAACAGGGTTATTCACAAAAGGGTGAAGAGTTTGGAGACGGCAGGAGAAGTGAACAATCTAGGACAAAATAGCCAAATTGGAATAATTCTCCAATTCAGCTCACTTTCCAGTTCAGCTATGTTGTCCTAGATTGTTCACTTCTCATGCCTTACTCCAAACTCTTCACCCCTTAGTGAATAACCCTGTAAGTGTTTCCAGGCACTCCAGCAACCTCTGAAAAAAATACATCAGAAATTAAAAAATATGTAATAAAGGGCCCTGTACACAAACAGTTACAAAAGACTGGTATGGAAGGTAAAGACACTTCGATAAAAAAAACAAATGCTTTTGTTGTCAAAAAACATCAGAAATAAAAAAATATATACGTTTTCAACCAAAAGAGATTTTTGATGTCTTTAACCTTGGTCTCTCTTTTAATTTCTTTGTAGTTCTAATAGTTTCCACATACAATGCTCATATCTATGAAAAAATTGAACCGTGTGTTGCCATTTTTGATAACTTTTAAATGATTTTCATGAGGTTACATGAAGTAGTCAGACATGTTGGAAAATGTAAGCAATCTTTCACAGCATGCAGAAAATGTATAATGTAAACTGTCATTAATTACAGCTATAAGAACAATCATAATTTAGATTGTATTGGTAAAAGATACCACAGCAGACACCAGTATGGCAAATTTAGAAAGGCAATAGAGTACACTCCCCATTATCTGGCATTCAAGCAACCAGCAAAAACATTTTTTTTTGCCGATTACTTGATAGACATGTGCACACTAAAAAATTAAGTTAGCAACTAAATGTATTCAGTTGCTAACGAAATTCTCTATTTACATTATCTGAAATTCTCTGTGTACATCTTGCTGCTGGCCAGAATCTAGATTCCGCAGGCGGCAGCTGAATTTAAACAGGCAGTGGGCGGGAGCAATAGTCAGCCTGCTATTGGCTATTTCATATTGCAATAGCCAATAGCAGGCTGACTATTGCACCCACACAATGCCTGCTGTCAATGAGCAGAGGAGCGTTTCTCTCTCAGGTCCACTTCTCTGCTCTACTCATGAGTTGCTTGAGAGTTAATAGTAACTCTCAAACAACAAGAAACTACAGTTATCCAGCATCTACCAATCCCCATGGGTGCCGGATAACTGGGAGTTTACTGTACTTTAAAAACACAATAAAATCTTATCAGAGGATACATTGAGATGCAACAACAGTTTTCAATTTTAGTGACAAATGATTCAGTAGTGCATCATGCTGGTTGTGCAATAAATATGTTAATATGTCTGATTATAGTCTGTAAATATAGCACAGAGTTCTTTATTTCAAGACTAGTTTTAAGTATCATCTTGTGAATAATAGAAGTGACACTAAGAGACTGATTACAGAGTGCTGCTAAGAATAGCTGGCAGACATATCAAGATTTTAATCGCAGTGTGAGTTGTATCTCAGTCTCTGGTACTGTACTACGAGAAGCAGAATAACTGAGTTTAGCATTATAGGTAGAACAGAATTTGCTACAAGAAAGTGAGATACTTCACTAACATTCCCAGCTGCCTAGTTAAAACTATTTTAAGCTAGTACAGTAAACTACCTTTGGATTTAATGTTTTGTTTTTTACACCGTAGTCCTAGAGTTATATCTTTGCTCAGACAAAAAGGTATCAAGGGTAGCAAGTGTGATATTTACAGTTTTAGCTAAAGTATAGTTTGTATGTGTGATGTCTGTCAACAGAGTTGATAACTGTAATAAACTGACAAGAACTGACATTTGAAAGGACTATGTAGAGTTTGGAGAACATGTTGCATTTCAATGACGTTCAATGAGTGTTAAAGACAATACAGAACACCTTTGCTTTTTTTTTTTCCAGTAAAGCCGTAATGGACTTTTTGGTAGAACTGTGCAGCCAACACCACTTGAACCCCGCTCAACACACTCTAGAAGCACGTTCTGGAGCATCGCAGCAACCGTTTCTTTTAAGGCCAAACACTCTTATTGGAACTTTGGATTTACAAACAGTTTTTCTGAAGGAGAAAGTGACAGAAGTGAAAGTCAGAAAACCGGCTCCCAAGATTCCTGAGGTTAGAAGTGCTAAAACACTGACAAGTCCAGATGGTTTATGCTAAAGCAAGTAAATGCCTCTGCTCCAGTAGGTGATTCCAGGCAAATGTTAGACTGTACTTGGTAGATAAACACTTTTTCCTCAGTGTCACCTTTTTTAAATCTTTACTATGTATATGCTAATTGTCAAATTTAAGATTTTTATTGTCTGGTAAAACTATTTTGGCACATCTATTCAAATCTGTTTCTGCAGACCCACTGCTACTGCTACCATGTTCCAAAGGAGGACTGCCATATTACACGTGCTGATGCACATTACAAAACACTGTTCACTTTGCAGACTTTTCAAGCTAAAAACGAATTAACTAGACTGACCAATTTATAAAGACCATCTAGAAAGCCCAAGTAAGTGTGATGCCAACCTAGACTGTTACTTACATTATGTGCAGGGAAGCTTGTCTTCTAGGGTCTAGCAATGTAAGGAGTGATGCTTTTCCATGCACTTCTGAAAGACTAAAGCTGACCATACACCTTACAATTATCTGCAGATTTTCTATGGTCAAATGGAAAAGGTGCAACAAATTCCTCCATCTACACTTAACTGTGTGGATGGAGTAATCTCCACTTGGGCCAATCTGTTGCACTTTTTCAATCTGACCACAGAAAATCTGCAGATAATTGTAAGGTGTATGGGCACCTTTACAGGGTTATTCACAAAAGGGTGAACAATCTAGGCCAAAATTGCTGATTTGGAAAAATTCTCCAATTCACCTCACTTTCCAGTTTAGCTATGTTGTCCTAGATTGTTCACTTCTCCTGCCTTCTCCAAACTCTTCACCCTTTTGTGAATAACCCTGTTAGTTGAGCAAGCCTTCTCCAAACTCTTCACCCTTTTGTGAATAACCCTGTTAGTTGAGCAAGCTTCTAACCACTGCTTACTGAATAGGAATAATCACCTGTTCAGCTCCCTCTTGCACAATCAATTCAAGCTGTGAAATAGGGGGATTTGTGTTGGCTGTTAACTCTTAATAGACCCTTTATTGTGACAGAAAAATTAATCATTTTACTCCATACAAGCTTAATCTCCCTGCGTGGTCATTGGGGCTTAATTGGGCAGTAAAGTTCTACCACACTTGTTTGATTTATTCACAAAACCTACCAAGTGCTCCACCATCCTAATTCCTGAATGAATTAAGGTGCCCATACGCCTTGCGATTATCGTACGATAATCGCGGGAAATCCCGCGATCGTACAATAATCGCAAGGTGTATGGAAGGCGTGCGACCGTTTCTACTGTACGGTTGCACGTCTCTTGTCGAAAGAGCATGCTAGAAAACCCGCCGAGAATCGTACGATTGTCGGCGGGTTAGTGGCGTGCTCGTTCGACAACTGCGGAACGGGCCGGTGTGCGCACGCGCACACTGCCCGTTCAGCATTGCGGTCATCGGAAGCCCGCCCCTCAGCGGGGTGGGCTTTCGATGATCTCAAGTACGATCTGCCTGTCCAAGATGGGCAGATCGTACAAGCTTTTAATTAGCTTACAACCATCGCAAGACAAAAGTCTTGCGATGGTTGTAAGGTGTATGGGCACCTTTAGAGTCACCCCATTCAATGCCAGCACCTAACCACATACTTCCCTATGCATGTGCTACAACAATGTAGGAAGTAGACTCAGTTTGTTTTAGGGTGTAGTGCTGTTCACTTGCATAATCTCAGCTCTCCTGTATTTGATCTTCCCAAATCCTCAAATAGGTGTTTAAAACAATGAGTGGTGAATTTAACCTGTGCATTATTCTCTAGGAGATGATAGGCTTATATAAATGAGTACCAGATTAAAGGAAAGTTTAATGCTTTCCGATTGTTGACTTGTATAAAGGAAATTATATTAGCAATGGTCGAGTATATACTGTATACATTTACTTTTTTTTTGCGACTGTAAAGATGGTCATCCCCAAGAGCTGAAATTTGCTTCTTTAATGATTTTAGTGTTTTATTGCAAAGATTTCTTGCTTTATTTTATTGTAGACATTATTATGAATCACACACCACAGGTGCAGTTTGCAAAAAATGTACATCTACATTAAACCCATGATAATTTTAAAGGGTGTCCATAGACATCCTTCATTTTCAGATACCTGCTAGGTTTACACAGCAGTTGAGCCGCATAAGCGGTGTCAATCAGAAAATGTCTTCCTGGCCAGTTTTTGAAATTTTTGTAAGATTCTGGTTTATTCCCCTGTGGCCCCCAAGGGGTGTCGGAAGCCACAACACATGCATATGCTTTGGCTATGTGTAAGAATGTATAATTATTTGAAATTCTGGCATTTGGTTTGTTATGTAGAGAAACAAATTACAAGCAGCCTATTAGTTTATAATTATCAAGAAAAGTGCGTAGACCATCTTTCAGCTCCGCTGGCCAGCTAAACTAACCTAATCAAACATGTTTATAATATATCAGGTAAAACAGAGGTCTAATTAAATAATGTACATTTACAAATGTATGTGGAGGCCTCACTCCACTTACAAGGTAGTGTGTGCACTGTACTAGTACCGTAGTAGTAGTAGTAGTGTGTGCTCCTACTATTTTCTTTGAATCCCACTAGTGGAACATACTGTAAACCAAAACTGCTACATTTACAATTATGTTACAGATGTCCTACGGGAATGGTCAGAACAACATCAGATGCTTCCTCAATTGCTTTGATTAATCCTGGTAAAGTAAGGGATTGTGATAGCACACATTGGGGTCTATTCACAAAGCTGCCGAAGGATCTGGCCGTAGCTTCGGCCGATCCTTCGGCTGGCTTCGGCCCCAGGACACCTTCGGTGCAGGAGAACCGAGGGGGTGCTGTACGGGCTATTCACAATAGCCCGTACAGCTCCCGATCACGGCCGAGCAGCTCAGTCGAGCGCTGAGCCGTGCTGAAAGCCGAAGCAGGCCGAAATTCGTCTTTTTTTTCTGTTTTCTGACATGCTCGTGTCAGCATAAAGAAAAAAAAAGACACAGCGGGGGTTCTCTTCTTAGCGCCCGGGGGATTTTTTTATTTTTTTTATTTTTATTTTTTTACAGCAGCAGAGCCGCCGGACAATAGGAAACTATTGGGCGGAGCTAGCTGTCACTGCTAGCTCTGCACAATCGTTTTCTATTAACTTTTTTCTACTTTTTTCACTCTTTTTCTGTTCTGCTCGGTGCCTCTGAGGGACCGAGCAGAACAGCCGAGCCAAATGCCGCTCGGTGGCATTCGGCTATTCTCTCACTGCTGTTCGGGATCTTTCAGAATAGCCCGAACAGCAGTGAGAAGCCTGCCGGAGGTTCGGCTCAGCCGATCCAGATGTTGGATCGGCTGAGTCGAACTCCTTCTGCACTTCGGGTCAGCCGAACATGCTGAGCATGTTCGGCTGATCCGAAGCCACACGAAGCAAGCCGATGTACGGCTGATTTCAGCCGATATACGGCTGAAATCAGCCGTACCAGCCTGAAGTGAATAGCCAAACAGTGTTCGGCTCACTTCACTTCTGATCGGTCATTCACTCGGCTGCCCTCGGCAGCTTTGTGAATAGACCCCATTCTGTTTTAGACAAATGTGTGTTGTTTCACGTGTCTTTTTGATTTGGATGCTGTTCTGTTTCAGTTGTTGCTTTATGTAATTGAACATAACTGCTGAGACCCAGGCTGTGCAGACAGTATTGCAACTTGCTGAAATGGCAGAAATCCAGAGCAGTATCAACTTAACAAGAAGACCCAGAGTAAAATCCAACGTAACTTATTTTACAATTGTTTTCTGAGCATTTCTTAAGGTGAAAGAGCATCACCGAACAATATGCTTCCTAACTCTCCAAGGGAGCTCTTTACTCCATGAGGCCAAAAAATGAAAGCAACATAGAGCATGGGAAGGCAGTGAGTTGCAACTAAGGGCTACCTAATGCATAATAGGAGGGGGAAAACAGTGGAATATACCATGGCACAAAACAAAGCAAAAATATGAAATATTTATTTGCTATGATCCTTGACTCCATCTAGTGGCCAAATGTTTTATGCTCCTGATTCCCTCTAATCTTATAAATAAATGACATTCACCCTAGAATGAAAATATGCGAATAAAATTTGTTTTTGCCCCATTCAGCTAGAACAAATGTACATGGCAGTTTCGCAGGACAAATGGCCAATTTTTTTTTTATAAATACAACCTGTAGTGTTCAGGGCCTAGCTTTAAAGTGTGACTATACTGTATTTTTTAGAATTAGGTTTATTTTTAAGGGATTGGCAACCAATCAGCTTCTCTCTTCAGTTTGTTCAATTAAGCTTTGAAAATGAAAGGTGGATGCTGATTGGTTGCCATGTACAGCTGCTACAGATTTTGTCTGCTCGAGTTTTGATAAATTCCCCTCATTGTCTCTTTAGAATTTGCATCCAGGCTTGTCACAAGAATTGTATTATAGGCTTTGCGAGTAGTGGTACTGGTCTGGAGTTGCTCTCAGTTGGCTTTGTTTTATGTAAAGCGATGTCATGCATATTTGCGTATAACAACTTGCATAATACAATATGATCTGTTGTCTTTTTTATTTCTGTACTAGTTACTTTCTATGGCTTGTACTGACTTAATTGTCACTGATGCATAAAAGCTTGCAAGCTTCTCCTCTACTCTTCTAAACCCATTGTCAACTTGTCAGGCATAGGAAATGTAAAATAAATCCAGGTGTGATTGTGCTTTTCATTTGTGTATTGAGCACCTTTCAGCTTTGTACACCCAGCCAGCTCTTTTTTCAATTGACCTGATCCACCCCCTTTTCAAGCTAGATGCTAATGAGTCACTGGATCTGTATGAGAGGTATCAGGTGAACATAGGAAGCCCATTCTGCTGTCCATCACACTGTACAGTGGCTGAATGTAGGCAAGGTGGACAGATTCCAATGGTTTGGCCTTTGTGTTTTATATTCCTCAGAAAACTGTCCGATTGATTGTTAACTACCTTTGCACCCAGAAAGCTGTTGTGAGAGTCAATCCAGCGGTGCCGTTGTGGAACATTCTTCCAGCTGTGTGCGAAAAGTGTGAATTTCATCATGAAAATGTCACCCTGTTGAGAGATGCAATCAGCAGAGAGGAGCTGGACATGTCCCAATCATTGAATGACCTGGGCGTTAAAGAGCTGTATGCCTGGAACAACAAGCAAGGTAAGTGGCCAGTGACTCCCAGTTGTATTTGTAAACAAATTGAATTTTTTGCGCTTGTTGTGAATTTCCTTCATATTATATATTGTTGCATTTATATGTGTATTCTGAATTGTTCACTGTTATTTGCTTCCCTTATCACAGATATATCAAAGTCAGTGGCAGGTTTTGGAAATCTTGAAAAATTCCACACATTTACATCCTAGGGATCCTCTTGTCTTTTCGTATCAGTTGATCTTCTTTTTGTCATGTATTATTTACTTTAACCAATGGCACACATCTTATTTATTAACAAGAAAATAAATTCAAGGTAGAATTATTAAGTCATAGTGGAAGATAATTTTGTTAGGAAACAGAGACATAGTTCTGATCAAGATTTCCTATTACTTACATATTTTACTAGCAGATAATGTATAGAATAAAAGAGTGTATGCTCTACTCCAACAGGATCAAACACATACCTCTCCACAGCAATTCAGCAATACCTAAAGTATGGCACAATTCTAGCAGTTCATCTATGTCAGGACCTCCTGGAAGGAGTAGTTTGTTGTCATGAACAGACTCTGAAGCAGTTAGAACAAAACATTTGAAATACCTCATTTTTGTTACATGAAGTCAGACTTGAATAACTGTTACCACTAGGTGCCTAGCACTTAGTGGTAATATTATATATCAGTGTGTGATATAATATCAGCAGCCATATACATACTTATATATTTTTTGGCAGTAAGATAAGCACAGAGATTTCACTCTAAAGATAAAATATGAATAACTGTTATCGCTGTGAAATGGACACACTTTTAACAGCTGGCTAAAGAATATTTTTTATTGTGGAGATTTGTTTTTAAATGGAACCAGACATAAATAGGCATTTGTAAGAATCCGAATCTCCACTCTTAAGGTGCCCATACACCTTACAACCATCGAATGACTTTCATCCTGCGATGGTTGTACGGTAATTAAAAGCTCATACGATCTGCCCATCTTGGACAGGCAGATTGTACTTGCGATCATTGCAAGCCCTCCCCGCTGAGGGGAGGGCTTCCGATAAATCCAATGCTGAGCGGGCAGTGTGCGCTTGCGGGCATTTGTCTACCGAGAACACCACTAACCCGCCGAAAATCGTACGATTCTCGGTGGGTTTTCAAGCCTGCTCAGGAGACAAAAGATGTGCGACCTTACAGTAGAAACGGTCGCACGCCTTCCATACACCTGCCGATTATTGTACGATCGCGGGATCACCGGCGATTATCGTACAATAATTGGCAGGTGTATGGGCACCTTTTAAGTTGGTTTAACTGTGCAGCCTTATCCACCCGGGAAAGATGTACTGTATGTGCTGTTATTGACTGCCTTGCATTGTCTGTCGGACTGGAAACGTTACCAGCGTGAGGTTGTAGACACCCAATGGTTTCCGTCCTAAGTTCAGAGCTGATAACTGACACTCTGTCTGAGATGATGGAGTGTAAAAGTGTCACATTTTTGTCAAGTCCTGCTACTGCTGTTTAAAACATAACATCTGTCATAACTAACTACATTTAATTTTTAAAATAATCCCCCCAAACATATTAGGCAGATGTAAGCTTGGTATAGACGTGCCAGTTCAAATTCCAAATTCGTGGGAGCTGATGGGTTGTTAATATGGGGCAGCATTTCTCAGTCTTTTTTCAGTCATGGCACCATATAAAAGTATGCAAAATCTTGAGGCACGCAAGGCTAAAATGTAAAAACTGTAAGAGTAAAAAAGTAAAAACAATGTGTGGTCCCTCCAAAATCCATACAAGACCCTTATACCCGATAGGGGACTGGTATGGATTTTAAGGAGGAACCCCACACCAAAACACAGAAAAAGTGCAGTTCCCCAAAAAAATTAGGAGCACCCTTCAAATAAGAGCCTGCTTTTATATCAGAGCCCCCTTTACATCGGGAGTACCCCTTCACATCAGGAGCCCTTTCCGATCACGTGATAGTCCCCTGTTTCACATCAGGGTCCACCTTTTCCACATCAGAGGCATGATGCTGTGTCAAAATTTCAAGGAACCCCTGAGGAAGCCAGCTAGCACCCTGGTTGAGCAAAGGCTGACATGGGGAACTCAAAAAGCTACATTTTATACTGTGGAAAGGGGAAGAGACCGATTTGGCTCTTGACAAACGCTGCACATATTCCTTTGAGAAGCTAAATGTTTATGTCACTGCCTTTATCCTTTGTTACCTACAAGCTGAGTGCAAATAAAAAGACTTGCCAGAGCTTCTGACCTTTACTTTTACTGAACAAATAATGTTTTTTAAAGGTTACTTACTTTAGATTTACCAGTAGGGACTTAACTATAGCATCCACATAGTTGTCTGCAAAGAGACCACAGGACCTGGGTACAAAAATATGCAAAGTGTAAAATTGGAACAAGATATGCCATATGTTATTCAACTTTGAAGTGTTGTCATTCATCTGCATAACTTAGTGGGGTTCAGCAGTATTGTTAGTCCCCTTTAAAAGGTATAACTGTAGCAGGGTGCAAGATTTTTGAAGCATTCCTTTGAATGCTGCAATTAAACCTGAAGTAATACTTAGAGAAATTATATTTTATTATTTTTCTGTTGTTGCGGTTTATATTTTGTAAGGTATTCTGAAAAGCCTTACATTTGTTTTGACCACAAGTAGCTGTTTGACTCTGTTCATGTGCTTTTATTAATGCCAAACACACTGCCATTAGAGACCAACTAGGATGACTTTGTAGCATGCCCATAACAACATTTGTTTTGCATGCATCCTGAATTCCACCCTCATATTTACATTAGGGAACTTTAATTATTTCTTAGAATGCAATCTGCTTTCTATATTCCTCTTGGAAACAGAATGACACGTTGTAGCCATAGACTATGTGCTGGCAGTCTCACTATCTTTTTATTTGCAAATATATTCACTTGCCAGGCATGCAGCCAGCGTGGGCAAACAGCTGTCAGTGAAATGTGCTTTGGACTTTGTGTAAGAGGTGTGTCAGGGAATATCAGCCAGCATTCTCGCTGGGTGTCTCCCATAGGAGTGGCATCTCTGCAAATTCCTTCAGTAATATGTTCTGACTTAATTGTTGGTATGGCTGAAAATGGAAGGAACAATACATGTTCTATTTAAAGGCACAATACTGTACACATTAAAGTTCAAGGTGCATATTATCATTGTTATGCTGTATCTTTGTGTGTGAATATGTGTGCATATATAAGTTTTTGGTCAGTTGGCTTTTATAAACATTAGTAATTAAACGATATCTAAATCCAAAAAACAACAATGTTATATATAGCAGCTTACTAGTCCGTAGATGTGGTGACTGCATTAATTTTCATTTTTTCAGTGTATTTTCTGCAAGTGCAGACAAATGCCTATTTATCTTGCCAGAATTTGTGTCCTTGTAACCTCATGTGAATAAGTAAACTAATATGAAATGGAGATAAGGAGAGGAAGAGGGGTTTGTAGTTCATATCAGGAGGATGATAATGTTGCTCCTCCATCAATACAAAGCAGTGAGTGAGCATTGTTCCCCTAGCACATGAAGTGTTACTGGCAGGATCCCCTGGTAAAAAATAAAGGAAAAATAGACTGAAAAAAGAAAACTAATGCAGCAATCCCAACTAAAGGCTGATGAGGTTCAAAATATCAGGTTTGTCTTGGATTTAGATCTGCTTTAAACTACATAAAATTAATATTTTATCAAAATGTACTTCAGACTTTTCCCTTTTCAGCTTTAATACTATTTATCTGAACCTCATGTATATATCATATATTACCAGACTAATACATTACAGGAGAAAGTGAAATGTGCTTTATTTCAAGTATCTAACTTTAGCAGGTATCTTGACAATTCTCATATATTGTTGTACTGTGTCTAGAAGTCAAAGTGCTGGTTTCACCCTTTCCCTGCTCTCAATGTAGCTATTATGTTTGAAGCAGTGCCATCATGTAAACAAACTCCCAGCTGGTTTAAAAGAGTTTGTTGGCCTTATCACTGCCGGCTATTTAGTAGAGGTGATTGAGGCAGCTACATGCTGGGGAAAGTGCTGCCCCCCCCCCCCACGTCAGGAACCTCTATGGTGGGTGTCAGGAGAGTGGCTGGTACTACCTGTGTAGTATAAACCTTGAAGCGCTCAGCTCTGAGAACTTCCAGGTTCAGTGATGTCAAACTGGGTCACTTTGGCTGGGGGAAAGTCTGATCAAGCACCTGTCACCTGTACTGTGCTATCACATAGTGGGCTTATCAGCAATATAGCAATACATTTAAAAAAGCAAACATATTTACAAAAAAAAAGAAAATTGAATCAAATAAATTAAAAAACACTCTGGACATTTTTAAAAGCCCCCTGCCTCATGTACACGGACATACGAAGACCAATGCATGTATTGGATCTGCACGCTTTCGACAATGAAGATCGCACCGCAAAAATAAGTTTTTAGTAGTTTGCTGATGTTTCATGGGCACATGCAAGTTTGAGGGTTGACACATTTCGTATCTGTTTACTCAACACAGACAGCCTCATCTTTTTTGTTTTACCCAACCCGCCCTCAATTTTTTTTATTGTTTGCGCGCACTAAAATTAATTTGAGCGTATTTACTTAATATAAAGATAAAAAGTATTGCAAATTTTGTGTGGTATAAAATATTGCAACTGCCACCATTTTATTCCACAAGATCTCTGCTTTCAGAAAATATATAATGATGGTTTAAGTAATCTTCAGGCTTCATCTGTGCAGTATTGCCCAGTTACAATGAAAGACTGCCCAGTTACAGTTTTATTCCAAATCATGAACAGAAAAAAATAGTTTCTTCATTTGTTAAGGTAGTGTGGTGGACCCACCAGTCCTTGTGTCGCTACTAAAGGGTAGAGGACCATTCCATTTTGGTACACCTTGGGAATCATTATATACAGAAGGAATGTGTGTGATGGGTCTGCCTTCATTGTAAATATGTTACTGCATCCAATCAGATTGTTCAGGTATTTTGACAGCCAATGGG